TATTCTGGGAAATACGAGGCAGCCATCAGAATACCAGCCATGTTTAGTGCTTGATTAACTCTAAATTTGCAGCAAGTATGTTAAAAGAGTTTCACCGATATGTTGTGTGAAACGTCGAAGTCCATGTTTAGATAACATGTATAACTCTAAACCTATTTATCTAAATCTTTCTGCACTGTGTTATTAGTAGAACTGGTGCTATCTTATTTTTTGCTTACCATTTCGAGATATTTGTGCTTCAACAAGTCAAATAACACCAGATCATGATTTCATACGAATCCAAGACTATTTAATACATATCTACCGCAATTCTACAGTAAGTCGGTGCGATAAGAGTATGATTACCTTGTTTAGCATGTCAAGTTCCCATACCACTTTCTGGGTTTTACTTCGACGCTTACTTATTCTTGACCACTAACCTTAATGGAATTATGTGCAAGTACGGTGTGGTAACTGCCGCACACCAAAATATTATCGACTTAGTTTATCTTGCATTTTTGGGTTTAATGTTGTCCTCCAATCTTTCATATACTGAAGTGATTATCTTTCAATTTCCCAGAAAGGACTTGTTTTTTCTGCCAAGAGCTTGACTGTCGAGGTTTCGTTTTAAAACTTACTCAAAGACTTGGAAAGGAGTACTCCATCCACTCGTGATTAACCACAGTCCATAGGTATAAGATATAGCGAAATTCACAGTGAAGAAACTGTTTGCCATACCAAAGTTAAGTGATTGCCAAAGACCTGTGAATACAACACAAAGAATGCAATGAAATCTACTGACTTTTCTAACTGATCATCCTTCTCAAAGAAGCCGTAGGAATACACAACAAATCTTTCCTTACCCCTAGTCAAAGCTCTTTTATGAGCTTCTTTCAAGGCGGCACAATATGTTCTGAACATATAATCCTCTTTGCATAATGCCTGGATTGTTCTTGTGTTTGAGATCGATTCGTTGATAATCTAAATTGGGGGTTATAGTTTAGTATTTCTTCAAAATATTGTGTTCAGCGCGAATAGATAGTTCTCTAAATCAGTCCTATTGAAAACAAATCATCGAATGTCAACCTACTCTGTCAGCTCTTGCGGTTGAGTCAATATCCTCATATCCTTTGATTTTGAGATACTTTTCGAGGGAAGTTTGAGCGATTGCTGAAGAGCATTCAAATTGGAACTAATTATACAATTCCAAACGATTATTTATTCATCTTAAAATCAGTTTTTTTTCAGCATTTATCAAAGGTGATTATTTGTTCATTCCTTTACTTTTACAAACAACTGTGACTAAGCGCTCCTATTTCATTTCATCTGTAACAAATACAAAGAATTACCTTTGAAAAGAGAAATTCAGGAAACTAATTTTAAGAGAATTCTCTCCTTAGCTCAGCCTACTTTGGTTATTATAAATTAATTTTTGAAAATACAACATAAACCAGCAAACCTAGCATTAGGCCAGTCATCACGCTACAGAGAGCAACATTCCATCCATAGTAGAATGAGATAACGAGGCCACCTATCAACGAGAAGAATCCTTGTATTACAGTGGCAAAACGATGATCAATGGCCTGAAATCTCGACTAGGAATTCATAGTCGGAATATGTAGAGCGCGCTGCAGTTGTACAAGGCATGTCAGATTCAAAAGAGCATTGTATGCTAAAGATCAAACAAAAGTCTTCATTTCCTCAATTACAATATTCAAAATGGCTAAAATTGATTAAATTTTAAGTTTTTGTGAAGGTCAAACATATTAATGATCTGAAGCTTTCGTAAATCAAGCGTATGTATCATGAAAACTTGATGCATAATTATCCGGACTTTTTTTGCGTGCTTGTATCTTTTTTGTTTTAAAAGCTTTTTGTCTATT